TTATATCTCAATATTCAAGTAATATATAACCGAAAGCGAGTTTCTCGCACTTCATCGCATACTGAAGCCAAAGCTGGCAAACCCCTCTACTATTTCTCGCAGAAAATCGGGAATATACCCCAATCATGCTGTTTCCAAAGATGAGGACGGGTTCGATAATATCGACGAATTCTTCGCAGCCGGCGTGGTTGATGGTATGCAATTTTTTGTCTCTCCAGATTTTCTGGTCCCGAAACTAGCGTTGATTTGTATTTCGCTTTATTATGAGGCGAAGCAGGCCGGGCCTCGTATCTTCCAGGCTTGTCAGTAGCAGCACACGAGTGTGCTCGCATCGTCTGGGGTGCTGGGCCGTATACAGCGTTTGAGGTCGAACCGGCCGTATACAGCGTTTGAGGTCGAACCCTAATATCACACCCTTTTATTTGGTTAGTATGTGTTGAATGTACGAACAGCATACCACCCGTATCCTTACGGATATATATATATATATATATCAAGCACATAGCCAAAGAGTCAGGTATAGCGTAAAAAAGGCGTGTTTCGTAGATCTGTCTGTTTTGATTGTTGCGTACAGACGAGCTGAACAGTCGCGGCACGCGATCGAGCAACAGGTGCATCTGTTCTGTTGTTGTCCACTCTGTGTGTGCAGAAGAAATCACTAGAATGAGACGAGCTGCATAACGCTACCAAGCAACCGATACATCTGTTGACTATCAATCAATCTCCACGTACAGACGGATCTCACCCACATACACGGGGCCAAACGTTCACAAAACGAAACAAAACAACCAATGTGCAATTGTCTTCCCATGTCAATGTGCAGATGACAGTCACGACAATGAGCAGCAGAACGCGACCCAGCAACAGGACACTTCTGAGTTAGCGATACTGGAGGTCCCGAAATCCGCCATGACGCCGGCCGCCAGAGTATGCATATCTGTGGGTGTGACTGTGCATCGGAAACTTGGATAGGTGCATGTTAATAGAGTGTACAATGCCGAGTTTTCGCATTGTTATTGAGAACTTGGTTTTTTTCGAGTCATCGGTTTGGCTTTACTCGAAAGGCTGAAATCTACCAAAACGCCTCTTGACGCTAGAGTAAGCGTATCTGTGGGTGTGAGTGTGCATTGGAAACATGGGATAGGGGCATGTTAAAAGAGTATATAACGCCGAGTTTCCGCGTTGTTATTGAGAACTTAGGGGTTTTTTTAGAGTCATCGGTTTGGCTTTGCTCGTAAGGCTGAAACCGACCAAGATCGGTGGGTGCGAATGCGTTGATGACTGCACAGGTTGCCATGGTTACAGGTTGTCATGGTTACACGTTTAGGGTGTGTAAAGTTAGGTGTCGGGGACAAGAAAAATGCTCTGCCTAACTAGCACGGCTTTGCGCGGTATTCCGAAACCAGTGATGACTCCAGCTGCCAGAGTGAACCCGTTATTCGTGGGTGTTGATGCGTCAAAGTGTGCGGTGGTCACGTGCTTAGAGCCCATCTGTTAGATACTTTCGAGTGTGGGATGATACGCAAACGTACTGAGTGATCGATGTGGCGTTGCTAATAGTCTCGACTTAAGCCATGGATCCAGCCACTAGAGTAGGCATATTCGTGGCATTGCGTTTTGTTGTCGAGTTCTATGAGTATGTGATAGTTTTTGATGAGATAGAGAGGCTAGCACGTGGTTGATGCGTATGGCTGTGTGGACATGCCGGTTCTCTTTGCGGCTGTGTTTTTTATTGTGGAGGTTTATGAGTGTACGTTTTTAAATTTAGAGATAGAGGGACTAATACGTGGTTAATGCGGATGGTCTTAGCTGTGTGGATATCTCCGTTTCCTTTTTGGTTGTGCTAGCAGTGGGTATAAGAACGGTCACGTTCACCGCTTCGGAAGGTCCATGGTGTGCCCAAAATGGATCATAACCGGGTGCAAGGTGATTCAAAAACCGGCTACAAAATAAGGCCAACGTATTAGGAAATACGAGCAAACCTGATTTTCCCTTTAGAACCACGCTCCAATTTACAAAATTGGAACGACAATCCTGATATCTCGCTCCAAACCATGCCCTCCTGATCCAGCTCTGCGTGTGGTCAAATGAGCTCTCATCGGGTGCGATTCGGATTCGTCGCCCTTGAGCATTAATGTGTGATAATAGTATTGGACAAATACCCGTGAACACGAATTAGTACGTATTTGTAGATATGCCATCCAACACAGTACGCGCGTCATGTATACGCCAACCTGACTCAGATGACTTGATTGATTCATTCCTGCAGGCTCTGGGGAATAGAGCTAGGACGAAGGCCAGGCGAACGATGTTTACCAAAGACGAGATAGAATCATATGCCAAGGAAGCAATTAAGTATGTGCTATCGGGAATGTTCGATCATAGACGTTTTCGCTATGTTATGTTCATGCGCGTTCACGGTGGATATGCAGCGCGACAGGAATCTACTCGTATGAACGTAATACCAGTGAAAATTTAGGAACGTATTGCCAGTGAAAATTCTTTCTTTAGTACAATACCCAAGTATGATTTATCACGATATGTATATCTGTTTGATATACGATGTCGTCATCACACCAGTGAGTGAATGCAATTCCTTTATTTCTGCGTATGTTTGACGATACAGCTATCCATCTCCCAGTCTGTGTATTTGGGTGCATTCGTATGGACTTCCACCATTTGACTTCTCAGAAATAATTAATTGGATTATATATATATATACACACACACACACACACACACACACACACACACACACACACACACATATATATATATTATATAAAATGTATACACATACTTATACACGTATACAACGATTATTCATATAAATGTGTATCAAACCAGTAGTGTCTGAGTCCAAGTTGCAGCCGACACACCTCTCTGACCGCCCGTACCTTGAAACCCTGCAGGTGCAAAAGAGGGGAAAAACGGGTGCGAGACAAGTCAGTCAACGGCACAGTGTCTACCGCCGAAACTCCTGAGGAAACCACTCAGCGAAGGTCTAGTAGCCGCAGACCTCCACCGCGCACACAGGAATGGAATAACACGTTAAAATCACACGCACACACACACACCCGCCCATACGAGCATGACCAACCGCACGCCAGTACATCTACCCCCAATCTACACCTGCTGGATCCCGCTTTGCATGGGAAGGGAAAAGCGGTACTTCCGGGTAATAAACAGGGTGGTAGACAACGGGTGGGTGCAGCTAACAAATCGTTAATCCTGGATCACAGCGCCATTCGTGTAGAGAGTGAGGGTGCGGCGCTCCACGGCGAAGCTGCTATGCATGAGGCCCTGGAGAATAACGAAACGGCCAATGAGAATGGCTTTATAAATAGCGCAGCCAATGATAAGAGATATACAAATAGCTCCGCGGATGGCGATGGGCAATACCGGAGTGGCGAGCCACTCTCACACGATAACGATATGGTGTGTGGTGTCGCAATCCAGTCTTGGATTTACATAGCCTGTGAATCGTACACTGTTACTGTTTCATATTTATATATACATGTGCGCAAAAAAATATGTAACACAAACACACACACAAACACACACACACACACACACACAACACACACAC